TTGTCACCTTTACCCTGAGACGAGAGAATGAAGTGAAGTTGGGCTAGACCGTTGAATAGTTTTCTGTTGAGACAAATAAAACCCTTTTTTTCCATTAGCATTTGACACAACCGTTAAATGCTCGCTGCTGTGGGTTTTAACAGTTTTAAGATTGTGAACTCTGAGCAGGGTAACAGTTGAGATTCTATATCTTCCAAACCGATGCATAGTTGCTTAACTGAGCAAGAAAACATATTAATAGCATGTTCTGAACTAAAAACATGCGTTCACTTTCCTCAATGATATAAATCATCTTGTGTAGGGCAGTTATTGATAGTAAAGCAGCGGAATTATCCGAGTCTATAGACGGTGACTTTAGGGAACAGGCCCCAATTCTCACCGGGGTTGATTCACTTGCTTCCTGTGAATTATCAGCTTTTTATGGAAGGAGCGACGGTTGTGGGGTGATCTCCATCGATTTTCTCTTGCGCCTCTCTACAGGTGTGTGCATTTATGCTATCTTTCTTTTAAGGGTTGTTAACTAATGTTGCACATCGCAACTTTTGTGATACACATCTTTGTTTGCAATGAGGGTCCCAACGATGCTGTCTGATAGATCAAAGTCCCCGTCCCACCCCAGCTCCAGGAGGAAGAGCTTCGGAGCTATCTTCAGGCCTTTTTTTTAATGAGATAAGATTACCAGCAATTGAAATCAAAATCGGTTTCTGATTGAAGTAAAGAAATCTTGTTAGACATTATTTATTAAACTGTTCAGAATCATCAAATTTAGTGGGGTAGAGCATGTTTTAAAACTTTAAATACTTCACTTTCAGGTTGTTGAGTTATTGGGCAATATTTAATTTTCCACTCTCGCAATCAATATAACTATTTGCTAAATTTCACACAAGCTTAGATATCATCAAGAGTATGACGTGACAAAGTAAACTTATTTGTGCCTTCTGTGTGTTATATGCTTGCGACTGTATGATATTATAATAATTCCCAGCACTTCCAGGTCATCAAGTAATCCTACACTATTCGTCAATTCAGCATTCCTTGTCAGGGTGCCCTAAACATTCCTCATTATATATTTTCTTAAATTGCAACAGCTGCATTCCTTCAATAATCTGTTGATTTATTTTATTTTCAAGATTTATTGTACAATTATTGTGCTTTACCCGTGTTTTCTATTCTAATCAAAAGTAAATCAATTGGACAATAAGGTTAAAATGAGTAAAATAGTAATAAAAAATATTGGAAATTAAATATCTGCCATGCTGGTATGCTCTCATAAATGATGAGGCAATTTTTGCGAGTATCCTTCTTCTGCCACCCCTCCAGGTAGTAAAACTCCTTGGCCTTTCGTCCAACTCCGTCCAGGTTCTTGGCGAACACGACATGACAGAATATTACATCGTCCTTTTTCATTGCCAGGACCATTTCTTTCGTGGGGGCTCTCTTCGGATTATCTCTAAAATCATTATAGACGTTCTGATATTGTGACTGGTAGCGGGGTAGTCCTCCAATCAATGTAGACTAGACGATTGTTCCGGTTTTGATGATTGAAAGCGGGGGTTGAGATCCTGAAATACATAACCGGTTTTAACAATATTATTTGAAATAAGTATACTATAGTTGAATTATAATAAATTCAGCTCATTCTGAATAAACGTCAATATAATAGTATTACTTGTGTATATACATATGTGCTTTGTTACAAAGTCATGAAAAAACTAGTTTAGAAAGAAAACAATTAGTTACTCACCAGGGCCTTTCCCTTGCTGGTGGTTGGTGCGGGTGCTCGGGGTGCTCGTTTTTTCTTAGCCGGGGCACTAGTGACATGTGCAGCTGGTTCCTTTTCGTACACTTTTAGAGTAACGTAGCCGTTTGTTGTGGCAGCGATACCCTCGATCATGTCCCCGTTCTGAAATCTTTTTTACTCATGAGAAAACATGTTCTTTTCTCTCAGTTGGATACAACATAGATAACATTTTTCTGACTAAGATGAAGATTTGTTTATTCATTAAAGTATCTTATATTTATTTAAGGATTAATTATTATTATAAATAAAGTCATTTGTGAATCATGTATTAAAAAATATAATATCCGCTAAGACTTACCGCAAACCGGTCTTCTTCGTCCGGGAAAAATGAACACACCTCAGTGTGTTCACCAACAACGGCAAACATTTGCATCGGTTTGCCGTTGTTGGTGGACTTGTTGCGGAGGAATTTGATTACCCCTTTTACATAGGTATATCTCTTTTCGCTTGTAGATTCCATGGCTAAAGTAAAAATCGAATTAATATAAGAAAAAACATGAAAATAGTTCAATACTAGTTCATAGAGCAAACCTCAGTCTAAATACATAAAACGGTTTTAACAATATAGATGATACTAGGAGATATTTCAAAACAACGGTAGAACTTCAAAATCTGAGGTACAGTAGTTTCTAGAACAAAGTGAGATTCCTCCCCCGCTAAGAGTCATTCAACATCTAATTAGGAAAGTAAGGAATAGCAAATGGTAGAGATTAATACTCTCCTAACTTCGTCTTAACTTAAGTAATAACACAGAGTTTGTTTGCGTGCAATCATTGCTATGGTAACCGCAACTACTGTCATGTAGCATGGTAAGCAATGTCATAGTAACGGCAACTGGCATGGGCAAGAGAGGTGACGAGAGAGTACGAGAAGTGGCGAGAGAACACGAGTTATATTTCGAACAGGTAAAATTCTCTTGCTGAAGGCGGATGCTAGAATACTTGTCCGTCGAACCACTGATGCATCTCAGACCACTGCACGGTTCCGAGCAGAGTTCATTCCTTAAATACCTTCTCAGCGGACCAGAACGTGTTCCTTAAAAGCCATTTTTTAATGAGATTTTTGTTAGTTTACGGTCACGGCACGGGTAATGGAGGGAGCTTGGTGGCATGTTCTTAGTCACGTGATTTTATCTTGACAGTTAGTATAGTACTAATGCAATTGTTTCCATCCCTACAGGAAAAAAACAATTAATCTCAGACCACTTGCACTGCACGGTTCCGAACAGAGGACATTCCTTAAAAGCTTAAATACCTTCTCAGCGGACCAGAACGTGTTCCTAAAAGCATTTTTTTAATGAGGTTTTTGTTAATTTACGATCATGGCACGGGTAATGGAGGGAGCATGTTCTTAGTCACGTGATTTTATCTTGACAGTTAGTATAGTACTAATGCAATTGTTTCCATCCCTACAGGAAAAAAACAATTAATCTCAGATCACTGCACAGCTCCGAGCAAAGCAGTTGACCAATGGTAAAATGCTCGTATATTCTGCACCTATTTCTTTTAATTTAAAATACTTTATTTAAAGTCAGAGCGGCAACCTTCATGCATGCTTGAAAGAACCGACTCTAATGGTGTTGAAAAGTTATAATGTTTTGAAAACAGACTGAGTTATAAAGTGAATATAGCTTTACAACCAAACTGAGTTATAAGTATATAACTTTAAAACTACTCCAAGTATGTAGTGAGGTATAATGAGCAATATTACCCTACTTAAACATGTAAATAAACATTAGCTATTTGTGGTGCTGCATTGGTACCCATTGGTATTCCAATAACTTGACTATAAATTTGACCCTGATAAGTTCAGTTTTCTTTAGAAAACTGAACTTTATCTTTATAAACATTGTTAGAGAAATAGGCCTTCTTAGTATAAAGATTAGAAATAATATAAGACTTATCTTTAAAATCAAATACTCTTTCTACAAACATGCGAGGATTATCCTTCAATTGAACATGGGGAATAGATGTATATAAAGTTGAAAAATCATATGTACTGACAGACTTTAAACCCTCCTGGAGCTGGGTATTATCATAACTAAGAAAATCTAAAATAGGTTCATTATTATCAATAACAAAATAATCATTTCTAACGTGAAATTTATTATCATATATAGATTTATTTTTAGCTGAGTGAAGCATAGATTTAATACAAATGCTAAGATAGACTGATAATTGTTGTAAACTACTTCCACTACCAGACGTTATATATCTAACTCCGACTGGCTTTTTATGCTGTTTTGGTGTAATATATAAATAAGGTAATTTACCATCATCTTCATCAAATTTAATACGATGTTTAAGTAGGAACGCTTTGTGGCTTGTGCTCATTAATTATACAATCTTCTGAACGATTAACTTTAATAAATGTATTCGATGATAATTCCTTTTCAATCATACTAATATAGAACTTTTTACAAACAATAGTAATATTATTTTTAGCTTTATCAGTAGGAACCAATACAAACTCTTTATAAAGCTCATCTAAATCTGCTGAGACGTCAACATCTGATAATACTGAATAATAGGGATATGGTTTAGCTCCTTGAAGTTGAACTATTACTTGCTCTATGATTAGTGTTTTCCACTCTTGAAACTCTTCTATAGGTTTATGCCATAAATTAGACAATTTATTGCAATAGCTTTTGAGTGCCATCTTTACTGATTTTAAAGCTTTTTCAGTGCATGGTTTAGCTTGGTCTCTATAATTTAATCCTTTCATTAGGAGGTAACGAAGTTTATCATTACTGATAATTGATAGCTCTCCTGTAATGCCATGTTTATGAGTAGGGTCTGTATAATAATAACACAATAGAACAATTGTATCTATCTGAAACCTAGATAAGAAAATACCTAATGAATAAAAAAAGCAAACTTTTTTGGTCTTTCTAACAATTTAACTAATTTCTTATGGATACCACTAAAGGATTTTTGTTTTATGTTTAAGTATAATTCTGCATGCTGATATAATGAATGATAAAACTCATAAAATTAAAAAGTGAGACAAAATGCACGTCTGTATCGGACAATGGTACAGTGTGTATTTTTTGAATGTCACAATACCTCTTTGTTAGCAAAACACAGCTTATTATAAATATAAACGTCGCCATGGAAACACATCACGTCACAACATACATTATATTTTAGTACATCAAGCCTAGAAATTGCATCGGATGAATAAACGATCTTCTCAGCTATCAGGTATCGTGTTTGATTTTGAAATCTGAGAGGGGAATATTCACATACTTTCTTAGTTCACCCACAAGCTTTGGCTTGAAGAAATCTGTATTCAGGAACCTTCCAAGTTTCAGAAGAAGCTGTTCAGTTTTGTAGATATTCCGAATCTTTACAATGTTCACCTCCACTTTAGAGTTGTCTCTTATCTCCTTCACATCCTCTATAGCCAAACCAGTAGCAAGATTCATAAAGAGAATCTGAATCACAATCGCAAAGAATATTAAAGCCACCACATGTCCGTTTATGAGCTGCATGGTAATGTCCTCCTCACCGGAATCATAGTCCTCATAAGCAACTCCACTCACACCCATAGACAAGGTCTTATAGTACGCTGACCAGGTGGTAAACGAGGAGTACTGAGAGTTGATACCTCCCGCAGATAAGAGATGGAACACACAGACGAACCCTAGCACGAAGACCACCAACAGGGCTCCAATGCTCCGGATAAATGTGATCACTATCTTAAAGAACATGATGATGTGTAGACCTATGTTGAGGAAGCTGATTGCCCGCAGAGTAAAGAGAATATTTACGAAGGAGCACACGACCGCTGCGGCGCTCACTTGCCACATTCCAGACGAAATTTCGTCGGAGAAGACTGTCATAGAGACAAATACCAGCGCTACAATGTAGGAAACGCTTTCTACGATATTCAGATTGGATTGGAGGTATCTTTTGAATCCTCGATTCTTATCCAAAATGTCGTCTATAAAGTCTACAAGCTCTGCTAGTAGTAGCACCGTCACTAAAACCAGTAGGGCAGTACCCAGACCTGAAGCGGTATCCGACTTCTTGGATAACAGCATCGTGCATTTCACTGTTTCCGAGGATTCATTACTAGGCTTTGTACAGTTCCAGGTTGAATCTTTGAACACGTCGTTGTGAACTATGAGAGTGTAGCTGAGAAGGAGAGCTACAAAAATGAGTTTGATCAGTGCTGAGCTAGCATAGTAGTGGAACCCATAATTCCGCCATTTGATGTCGACTAGAGCTTGTACTACAGGGTGGGTCAACAGCGCGACGTTCTTTTCACGGGACATAACCTGAAGTGGTGCTTCATCTTCTATGTAAGCACCGGGTTCGTAGGGGTGCCCCACTGTTTTGAAAGAGTTTCCTTCATCGGCAATTAGTTTGCCGTTCGAATCTGTTTTAGTCTTCTTAACATATTTTTCAATAATGTTGAAGTCAATGATTACTCGAAAGTAGTCAGCAATACTCTTTAATTCATTTTCACTTTTTCCAGCGCCTTCCGGATCCACTCTTTCTCCTTCTGTTGACCCGATTTGCCCTGGCTTCTTGTTTTCCTCGTCATTAGTCAGGTGGTTACACCAGCATTTATCCAAAGCTGCCACAACTACCTCTGGGTACTTTCGAATCAGACAATTGATCGGTGAGGTCTCATTGATAGTGCCATTACCGTGAAACTTAATGGGTGTTTTATTTTTCTCGATAAATTCGGATCTTCCCTCCTCACATATCCAAGGAAATGTACCAAAAGGATTGTAATCTCCGTAGTTAAAATCTGATCTTTCTGTTCTGTACGGCGTCAACTCAATCTTTTCAATCCTTGCCATGATAGCATCGACTATAGTGAAGTTACCAGCCATAGCAGCTTGAGCTAAAGGGGTCAGTCCCTTCTTATTTGCTATATTGACAGCACGGAATTGCCCCCCACCTGTCTCCATTTCCAGGCACATGAGAGCAATCTCCGTGTACTGCAAGGATATAGCAAGATGAAGTGGAGTATTGCCGTCTGTTTTCATCACCATAGTTAAAGGCAGAGGCATCTTGTCTTTGAAATCCAGAAACCTCCGCACACAATCCGTGGAGCCTGATCGGACTGCCTCGTGGAGCACAGAGGAGTCATCTTGTCCTCTTCTAAACAGGAACACGTGAGGGGTTTCAAGAAAGAGTTGGACAGTTTCAGATCTTCCTCTAGAGGCTGCCTCGTGCAGCGATGTATTCCTCTTGTTGTTCTTCTCGTTGATTGCTTCGGTCAGTGGAAACAAGATCTTTAAGATATCGTTATGTCCCCCCATTGCAGCCAGGTGCAAAGCTAAACTGCCGAAACTATCCCTCAGAGGAACAATGTGGATTCCGTCCGTGTGATTACATAAGAATTTGGTGGCCTCAATGTGTCCTCTCACTGCGGTGTCGTGTAGAGATGACCAATTATAAATGTTCTGGTAGAGGATCATATCTTGTTCAGCTATTCCTACTTCTTTGCCGTAGTCGAGGATCATTCTCATTATCTTGGGGTTGTTGCCCGAAGCTGCCCCGCTGAAAGGGATAGCGGCCCAAATATTCTTTTTATCCATTATAAAGTCCTTGAAAACAGACTCCTCACAAAGATACTTTACAACGTCTACTCGGTTGTGCTCTGCAGCGTCGTGCAGCATTATTGCATTGTTAACGTTCCGGCAGTCTACTTCAATGTTTGTGACGTACTTTAACAGAAACGCGACCAGCTTCACGTGACCCAGCTTTGCGGCAAGATACAATGCAGTTATCTCTTCTGTGTTTGACTTTTTATCCATTATTTTTAATATCTGCAGTCTCACAATCTCGTCAACCAAGTATTGAACAAGCTCAAGCCTCTCTTCGTCGATTACCTCCTGTTTTTGTACATTTTCAATCCGTTTTTTTTCTTTTTCTTGTTTTCTTTCTTCCTCTTCTTCGGCATTTGTACGCTCCTCCGCTTTTATTGATGCATGCTGCTGCACAGCTTTTGTTAACATAAACATGGTCATTTTCTTAGGCTTTTGCTTCTTCAATTCCAAATCCTCATTTCTTTTTTGAAGAAGCTTCCGCTTTTCTGTCTCCTCCGCTTCTTTTTCTTCCGTCTCCTGATCTAAGTCATCCAGCCTCTTGTAGTAAACAGCCCCGTGCAGTATCGTGTATTTCTGTTTGTGTCGCTGTCTAATCAGTTTTATCTTTTTCTCTTCGCTACAACGTGATAGCAAATACTTCAAGACACCCAAATGACCATAAGATGCTGCGAAGAAAGCTGCATTGCAGTTCAAGCTGTTTTTATCTGCTGGATCCCAGCCAACCCAACCATTCTCATCACATAACCAGGTTACTATATCTAAATGTCCTAACATACAAGCTTCATGTAGGACTGTCCTACCGTCAAAATTCTGTATTTTGAGGCTCTTTATTTGCTCCTCCGTAAAATCAAGGTCTTGCTCGAGTAAGATTTTAACAAGGTCAAGTTTACCTTTAGAAACTGCTAGGTGTGCCGGGGTCATGCCTTTTTCAGGATCCTGGATCATAATACAACTCTTCAAAAATTTCCTTTCAGGACCCATCTCCTCTATCCTTCTCAAATCCGGCTGATCAATAGCCTCATGGAGAGGACTCCAGTACCGGTTATCTTGCCTGTTTCTCTGATTATTGGAGCGTTTAAATGGCGGGAAAGGTTCCCATACCTTGGGAAGTTCCGGTACGAACTCCTGCTGTTCGTTCTCGGAGCTAGCTACCTCGTCCAGTGGACTAGCTACCTCGTCCAGTGGACAGGTTCCATTAGCAAAGTCTATTTTGTTGCTTCGTGGTGGGAGGAGGCAGGAAGCTTCTCCGTTTACATGGCTGTTATCTTGGTGGGGAAGAATTGATATTTCTATTCCTTGTTCCGGATCTTCTGCCATCTTGAGCAAGCTCAAACCTGAAATGTACAAAAAGGATAAAACGTGTATAAGTGTGAAATGTTTGAGAAATTGTTGCAATCGACAAAAAAATCATAAATGAATGTGTCCAAGAACGATTCTTATCAAACGAATGAACATTTGGAAACAAATCAAATGAACAGTTCGACAAAAAGTTAAACAGAAAATTCTAAGTGCAGAGAAGTAGATATAACGTCAGCAAACTAAAAGGAATAAATTTGTTCGCATTGTTTATTTTCATTCTATTTTTAAATTGCAAATGGTATTAGTGCTAATTGTCTCACTTCCTGCACAGAGATTAGTGATGGTTGCTATAGTTATAGTTGTTAGGTTGTGTATAATGTCTGTGGAGTAGTAGTAGTAGTGAGAAGTATCTAAACTAAACGTTTATTTCAACCATCTCCAACTATTACCGGAACTGAAATCAGCACAAACACTAGAACTGTTGCGGGAACTAAAAAACTTTGGTAGTTAGCATAATATGATAATATATGGTAGCCAGCAGATATAGGGTAGGATCAGGTGCCTGCTGCAGGTATATCATGTAGAGAACCTTGGTCTTGAACGACCATTTTTCTGACAATTCTTGAGGTCACACCTGGAATTTCTTACCATGTACTGTTTTTACAAATTGCGACAAATTCAGCTTGGAATTAATAAAGGCCATAAATTGAATCCTAGAGTTTTAATACTTTCAACACTACTTAATAACTAACAAACAAATAATTTGAGGACAACATGACACTTACAACTTTGAACATAACACGAGGAAATATGGACAGAACTGAACAAGAACCACATTCGAAGACTGAAACATCTGAATGACTCCGCAACCCAGGAATCAACTACTCAGTAATCATCGCTCAATAATCGGTTTGGTATCGACGTTACATACTTTATTATTTTTTAAAAAAGCTGACTTAAGAAACCAGGGAATTAAAGTTACCGTCATACTCCTATCATTAAATCGCTGATTTTATTTTTATATCACTTTCTTTTTTTTCTTTTTTTTTCTTTCTTTTTCTTTCTTTTTCTTCTTCAAAACATTCCAGTACATTGTGCCGAAAGTTGGAGATAAAACCGTAGTACGTACATGTTGCATTGCACTAGATCGAGCTTGCAGAGTGTGGTTTCCTCCAGTCTGCGCCACGCGCTTATAAACATACGCAGCGCAGATCGACTGGAGGAGATTGCACTATGTAGGCTCCGGTTTGACCATTGTTAATGATCTGGCCCGGCGCACGCTACTTCGAAGAAATTTAGACGAGTAACATCCGTCAAGCTCCGGTGTAATTTGATACGTATGTACTACGGCTTTACAAATTTTGGAAGCATGTAGGGATAAAGATCTGATAAAATACTCTAGCACAATTGTAACTGCAGTTTTACAGGACTCTAAATGCTTAATGAAGACTCTTGCAGGTACCACCCGTATTCACACTCAGACCTGAGTTTAGTCATTTTCCGATACGAGATTGGGGATGGGTTCTAAAAGCAAACAAACAAATAAATTGAATCCTAAAATCGTAGATTAAACGGGCATTACAACCCTTAGAAATACAAAATATTACCGCCAACTGTAAATTAGCTACGAATTAATTGTACAAACTTATAATCTAGACAGTAGACACGATTATAGCACTGATATGGTAAAAGTAAGCCAATCAAAAAAACCATTACTGTTAAATAATATGTGATTAATGGTAACTAACTAAAACATTTTCCATTATGGAAGTGTGAACAGGGGATGAAATTAGGACTGTCTGTGAGTAAATTAAAAATAAACTGGTTCTATAAGATGTGCTGTAAGGAAAAAAAATATAAAATCACCTATTGAACTTATAAATATCATAAGAATCATTACACAATAATCATTACACAATAACAATCCAAAAAGAGTAAAACATACGAAGACAAAAAAATGGCGATTTGAAAGGACGATTCAAATTTGTATAATCCTTGGCTAAATGGATACACGTTAATTCGGTGGAGGGTCCGCAGTAGTCCCATTGCCTAAGTGTTGCTGTACAACCACTACAGAAGTATACCAGATAACACTCGACCTCTGACTGATCCAGAGGATGTCACCAAATTCATAAAATTAAAAAGTGAGCCCTACAAAATGCACGTCTGCATCGGACAATGATACAATGTATATTTTGTGAATTTCACAATGCCTCTTTGTTAACAAAACACAGCTTAAGTTATTATCAATATAAACGTCGCCATGGAAACACAACAAGTCACAACATATATTATATTATATTTTAGTACATCAAACCTAGAAATTGCATCCGATGAATAAACGTTTTTCTCAGCTCTCAGGTATTGTGTTTGATTTTGAAATCTGAGAGAGGAATATTCACATACTTTCTTAGTTCACCCACAAGCTTTGGCTGGAAGAAATCTGTACTCAGTAACCTTCCAAGTTTCAGAAGAAGCTGTTCAGTTTTGTAGATATTCCGAATCTTTACAATGTTCACCTCCACTTTAGAGTTGTCCCTTATCTCCTTCACATCCTCTATAGCCAAACCAGTAGCAAGATTCATAAAGAGAATCTGAATGACAATCGCAAAGAATGTCAAAGCCATCACATGTCCGTTTTTGAGCTGCATGGCAATGTCCTCCTCACCAGAATCCTAGTCCTCATAATCAACTCGAAATACGAAACTCGGAATACAGTCACTTGATGCTAACCTGTCTACCTTGCTTATAAATAGCAAGGAGATGCAGAGGAAGGCATTATTTCCGTAACAATGTTTACTTTCAGTTTTATCTTAATCTATGGTTTTACACTGATCCGTCTTGTGGTCGCTAAAAGAATAGATGTGTCCAGTAAGCACAGAATATGACTTGATTAGCCATAACCTTCACTTTTGTGGTGCAGTATCTCTCGGACGGGCAGTTAAGGGCCTACCTTACGAAAGTAAACTTAGAAAGATCTCGCTTTAGGATTCGTTGAAGGGATGTTCTGCTGAGTGCCAATTTTAGGTGTATCCATCACGTCACAAACAACCATGGTGATGTATTATTCGGTCCTCGCAGTTCGTCTTTTGCAGAAAAAGTGAACTTGATCTTGTGATGCTTATCAAAGCAGCTTTTCCGGCAAGGGGATGGTCGGTTGAATTTCATTTGAAATTGTCGTTTAAGCTGAGGGCAGAACTCCCCATTCTCTTTGTTCAGGTAGACAAACAATCGTTGTTCCGCAGTATAGGGAGGATAGTGAACCATTTTCGATGATTCAATGGATAGTTCATTCCTTTTTATCGATTGTAAGGAACGAACCTGTGACTAGCAAGGCTAACAAGCCCTGCAACCAATCAAGCGGTGCATGTGAGCCAAACAGGCCATTAACCAAGTGCAGAGATCACTACTGACTGAGTGCTCGGATCACGTATCCGATGAATTTTGAAATGGTCATAACTCAGCCAAATTTTAAACAATGAACTTGAAACTTTGGGAAAGGTTTTAAATTATCAAGCCAAATGTGTGCAAAAAATTTTAAGTTCTTAGCTTAAAGCGTTCTCATTTTATGAAGACAATAGTGAAAAAGAGGGAGTGTCACGCCACGCCCACTGTAATTGGGCGTGGCTTACAAAACTTTCAGGAAATCTAAGTTTGACCCATATCTATAATCTCAGAAATTTTGATGCAATTTGAAGACGAATTACGTGAGTTATTAAGAGGTTGCGTGTGGGTAGTCACTTTTGGGCCACCCTGTAGTTTTAAATTTAAGTGATCAGGAATCTCACGCCCGTTAGGACAAAAACTTGACTAGAATATGAGCGAGAAGCGTCTATAATCCGTTATAATAAATGAGTCCGGGAATATGCTAGATAAATCTAATTCTATACCTACGAGGGTAAACAGTTCTGTCCTGGCTTTCACTCGGTATCCTCACTCTTCCATTATAATCAGTGACGAATTTTAGCCAGATACTTGATTATTTTTTAAACGTTAAAACACTTGACTGATTTAAATAATTGCTATATTATTAATGCTTTTCATGCAAACAAGTGAAAACGAATCTTTTATGTCATGTATCCAGGGTATGGACTGGAATTGCCCGCTTAAAGAACTTCCATCGCGTTACATTACATAATTTTCTGAAACATATATTACATTTACAATAAATTATGCAATATCACAACATTACGATCAACAAAATAAATTTAATCGCAGAATCTCAAATACAAATAATCGTAAATTAAACACAAAAAACAAATTAAACAAGCAATAAATGAATATACAAATGCGCAATGAATAATGAATATGCTCATGTATTATAGCGACCAAATGATCACGAAGATAAAGATAATCCTCTTCACGACTCTATTGTGGTTACCGCCCATCCAAGGTTAACTTGTTCAAATTGTAATATTTATTTTATATCACGACCTTATCAGAATTAACACTAAATACATAATATGTACACAAATTAAGTTGGAGTCCTATATGTCTCTAATTAAACTGCGGGTGCTAAGTAGTGAAACACGACAATTTATCGTTGTCATTATTTCAGGTGAAATTATAGGAGAGGTAGATGGTGAGATAAAACCTGTCTCTGTATCTATGACTAAAGAGTATGAATCAAGTTGTGTAGTAAACAATGCTATAGACAGGAATACAGGTACTTTAGCTTGGTCACAAGGATATGACACCTGGCTTAAGGCTAAGTTAGATAAGCAGTATCGTGTAGAGGAAGTACGTAATTGGTATCGTAGTAGTCTTAACACACACACATGTTCGAGGGACGCGTGTACCTGCAGTGGTGGTTACTGGCTACTGCTCCTCTTGGCCCGTCATGTCAGTGTACTCTGAGGATGGAACGGTCCCGGACAATGCTCCTTCTGATTGCATGATCGGAGACACTGTTCAATTTGATGGGAGTACTCATGGGTTTCTTTACGTTTCTGAAATCGTTGTCATTGGGAGAGGTAGGAGTCTATATCATTGGCTTATTATTATTGCTATTTTTCTAC